TGTCAAGAAAAGAAGCCTATTAAAAAAGAAAACATTTCCTAAAAATATAAGTAAAACTAATCTCTGATGCAATATCCACAGGAAATAATCCGCTCAAAATTCATCCAAATTGCTTGTTTTTACACAAACTCAAAATATGTCACTCAGGCAGGGGGCATCAGTTTACGCAGTGATAGAAGAGGGGTCCCTTGAGGAAAAAGGTTGGGAACGACTGATCTAAACTGAATTATGCTATCCACCAACATACAATCCATGGCCAAAAGCATCTGTACACCCAAACAGTTCACCTATATTCAACATTCACCATCTTATTCTAAGACTATGAGCATTAATATGCTGTTAGAGCAACCTGCACTCTTTCCACAGGATTTTGTAACCTGGCTGCAGGGATTTGCTCCCATTCAGCTGCGAGAGCAGCATGATCTGTGGCTGTCAATCACTTTCCAATTCAACCCAAAAGGTCTGGATGGGATTGAGGTCAGGGCTCTGTGCAGACCAGTCAAGTTTTTCCACACCAAACTGGGAAACATTTATGGTCCTTGTGTGTAAGCAGGAGCATTGTCATGTTGAAACAGAAATGGCTCTTCCCTAATCTGTTGCCAAGCAGGTAGAAGCACAGTATTGACAAAAAATATTATAGGTTTTGTTTTGTTTTACTAAGGAGCCGAGCCCAACCGATAGAGGTACACAAGAATTAGACGATTGCAGCTTTAACAGCTAGCCAATTAATCAATAAGTTGATCTTTTAGGTAATTTTTCAGACTTTAAGCTGTTTTTCTGGCTGATCAAGTCAATCAATCGATCAAGGGTATCTACGTTCTTTTGTACATATATAGTATAGAACGAATCAAAAGTACATTTTCTTTCATAAACTTTCAAAAAGTTAAACAAAAGCAGATGAATCCCACACTGGTGTAATTAGATGATGTGATTTACTGTTGTCATTTGATGTTTTTTTGTTTTCATTGAATGATTTTTCATTTATAAAATCAGTTCTCATATTTTCTGATGCTTGTATTTGATTTGTTCTTCCTTTTCTTGCTCCATCAATACTGTTATTCTAAATTGACGTTTATTTTATTTTTTCCCCCATTGTTTTATGTCGACTCCAGTACGACTAGCGACCACTGAGACAGAGAGAGACAGATATGGGAGGAAATGAGAGAGAAATCGTATTGGGAATTTCTTCAAATGAAGAGAATATTACTAGTAGGATGACCCTATATGATATACAGCTG